TTTTTTTTTTGCAATATTATTCTTATTCTCTCAATTATTATATTCAATGTCAAAGTTCATTTGTTTGTTAGAGTTTCATATTTAGTTAATTTCGACTAGATCTTTTTATTTATTGAATAAATCGATTTTAACCTTAGTTGCACTTTAGGTTGTCGAATATATTCGTCACAAGGTAAAAAGAAATAAGCATTTATTCGATGTCACATGTATCTTATCATTCTCTATGTCTTGTCACATGAGAAAAAATATTTTATACGTAAATAAAAAGAAAAAGCGAAATATTTTGAAATGGGCGAATATTCATTTTACTTTGAATATCATCTACTGTATTAACAGTTTTATGGGTTTCTTCAATAATATAATAATGTAGATTTTTTTATGACGATCTTTTGAAAAGAGAAATATTTTTCATTGATTATACAAAAGAAGAAGTAGCTGTTTTAATATTCAAATGATGATATATTAATAATATTCTTCATATACGGATTCCTAGCAAAGTTCTTCAAGGATATTGTTTATAAAAGTACATTAAATCTATGCAATATGATAGTCTGATATAGTATAAGAAAAGAAAAATCTGTTGTATTTATTTCAATATTGAACTAAAATAAAGAGACACGAAATTTTATTAATCTTATTTCATTTTTTGTTTCCATTAAAAAAAAACAGTTTCTTTTTTCAAGATTGTTCAATCACTTTTCGTGAGAATACATTTTGATCAAACACATTTTTTTTTCTTTCATTTTTTCATTAATAAACCACATGTCGAAGTCACAAGACTTTCCGCATGCTCGCCAAGTACAGAGAATAATAAGAAAACAAAAAAAAACTCGCAAGAAAAACAAGAAACAAAGATAAGTTCGTCACTCGAGTCAAATAATTTCATAAAGAGAAGTTTAATATACATAAGCACCAGAAAAAAAATTATCATGAACAAAAAAAAGAAAGAAAAAGGAAAAGAAGAAAAACCAAAACACAACTGTATTTTTAATAATGAAAGTTAGGTGTAAAATGAGATGGTAATGTTGAGGGTTGATATAAATGTGCAGGTGGTGGTGGTTGAAATTGGTGTTGATGAGAATCAATTTTTGATGGAATTGGTTTATAAACAAGTGAAACAGGTTGTTGATGATGATGTTGTTGTTTATTTTCTTCATCACTGTCATCTTCATCATCATCCTCATCTTCGTCATCATCATCTTCAATTGTATCAACTTGTCGAGATAATATATCATCACCATCAGGTTCATTTACCGAATCATCATCATCATCATCATCCGATTGATTTGTTCGTGGTGAATTAATTAATGATGGATTACCATTATTTCTTCCATGAGTATTCATTGATGGATTATGATAACTATTCATATTATTATTATTAGCATGATTTGACATATCTTCTTCAAGAAATCTTGTACATTTCTTCTTTCGTCGACAATGTTTACACCATTGACTTTGACCTTCTAATCCAAATCTTGCTCGACATTTCTTTTGATTTAGACAATCTAGAAATCAAACAAAATGTTTCGTATATAAATAATTTATTAGTCTTTCTTTTTTACCATTCTCTAATTGCATTGGATTTTTATTTGAATTCATATGTGGACTATTGATTAAATGATGTTGTTGGCCATAACGATGCGGACTACCATGATTTAAATGTCCTGGACTATTAACCATAGAATTATTTTCTCTTGGTGCTTTCTTATGTGAATTATTTAATACAGGTGTATGACCACTTGATTGTCGTTTCTTTTTTAAACCATAATTATCTCGTGCTGACCAACCAGGATATAATTGCATATGACGATTACGTTCTTCTTTTGCTAATTCTAAATAAAAAAAAAAGCTTTTTAATTTATCTATTTAGCAAAATATTTTAATTTACCATAATATCTATCTTGTTCAGCTCGAGGTAATTCTTTCCATTTTTGTCCAAGAACTTTATTTATAGCTGATGATTCTTTTAATGTACATTCTTCAATAACACGTGCACGTTGTTCTTTCATATAAAGCATAAATGCATTTAAAGGTTTTTTTATATGAGGTTTCTTTGGACGTTGTGCATCGAGAAGAACACTGAGACTAAAATAAAGAAAACAATAGAGAATACAATAACAAAATATTTTTATATGTTGTCATACTTTCGAGGAGATCCATCATAATTCTGATGATGACGATTAGAAGATGATGAAGAAGATGATGATGCGGATGGAGCTTGTGGTGGTCGAACGCCAGGTGCCGGAATAGGTATACCAAATGGATTGAAAAGATTGGGACGAAATGATTGATTACCCATACCAGGTGGATATAATGAAGGAAAAGGCATACCTTAAAAAATTAACATAGACATAGAATATATAGATTTTTTAATATTTACCTGGATTGAAACCAGAAAATGGTGAAGGTGCACCACCATATGGATTAGAAGTAAGTAGATTCTGTCCATCTGATGATTTATCCTAAGAAAAAGAATTTTATTTTGATAAAAAATTAAAATAATGAAATTTCGTTACTGTTGATGAACCAGCAGCATTTGCTTGTGCAGCTGCAGCCATTAAATATGGATGAAACATTGGATGAAAATATGGATAAAGGAATGGTGATGTATATAAACCAGAAATACTACTATGCAATGGATCATTTTTATCAGGACTTGTCTAAAACAAAAGAGGAAAAATAAGATTCTTTTTCAAATAAAATATTTTGAACATACTGGTGTTTCAATAACTGGTGAAAGACGATCCTCAATTCCATCGACATCAATATCATCATCAGGGTCATTTTTTTTTATTGTCGATGCTGAAAATATTTTAATTTCATCTGTTCCATCTTCCATTTTAATTGTTGTAATTGTTTCATCATTAGTATTATTACTACTACTACCGGTTATTGAACGTTGTTTAGGATCTGTTGATGTTGTTGAAATAGATGATGGAGAACTTGGTGATGATGATATTGGACATTTTTTAATTGGTGTTTGAAATTGTGTTTGATCAAATGTTGGTGATGCCATTGATTTGTTTTTTAGTTTAAATTCTATACATAATTATTACTTGTCTTTGATCATTGAAAACGATGGGTGGAGTAAAAGAGAAGTCGCAAATCGTCTATCTTTTCTTCTTCTTTTTTTTGTTTTACAAAGCGGCAGTGTGTTTGAACTGACCTTCAAATAGAACAAGAAAAGAAAAGGGAATGATGTTCATTCACCATCCACTCATTTCTTTCGTCGTCGTCGTCCGTTCGCTGAGAATGAAGGAGAAAGAACAATGACATGGCTCACTTCTCCTTCTCTCTCTTTTCGCGGCCACTGGTCAAGGCTGCCGGACGGTAGTAGACAAAAAAAAAGAAAGAAAACGAACGCCAATCGACTGTCAAAAGAAAGTAACACATTGACGGCAACACACATTGTCGGCGGCAAGAAAGAGAAAAAGAGAAGAAAACAAAATTAACGCCACGTCGTATGCGCCTGCGTTCATCATGTTTCTGAATTCGAGAGAGAGAGAGAAACGAACAAATGGTGTGTGTACATTCGATAGAGATTATGGGCAATGAACAAAAAGAGAAAATACCTTTGAAATTTGTTTAGTTTCATAAACGATTATTTGTTAATGTTAAAAAAATTAAACATATAGAAGACATAAAACTAATGTTGATTTTCCCATTGAATTATGTGAATTGACATAGAAATATATTTTATTGAATAGTATTGCTTCGTTGAAGTGCACAAGTTGGGAATCAAAATATTTATGAAAAAGATTCCATATTCCTTTTTCATATTAAATAATATGTTAATAGCCTTTTATATAATGAAACACTATGAGCAATGTTGTTAGAAGTACAGCAAATCCATATTCATTATTATAATTTCTCGAAGTTATAACAATGTTTTTGAAAAACTGCTAAAACAATTAAAAATATCAGCTATTTTTACTGAGTTGTCTCCTAGATTAGACAACTTTCTTTGACTTCATATATAGTATCATCTTCTTATATATTCATAGTGCATTTTACCAATCGAGGCTGAACTAATGTGAATTACAGACAAAACAGAATGTCAAGCAAGTTTGTAGTCATATGACAAAAACAAGAAGAATAATGCATGTAAAGCTTAGTTTTATTAGATATAGATCATACGATTAGACTGAAAGTTATAAGTACACTATGAGTATCAATTTTGTAATGATATATTGATATTAGTAATATATACGCAATAGTGTCCACGTGTTTAATTCGAACATTATTCATATAAATGAGTAATCATAAAATATTATGAATCCATTTCTGTTTTTTATTACAAGGTCTAAATATATGTGACATAATGCAAATCTTTAATATAAAACAAAAGCTATGCGTTCGGAGTATTCTCTTGTGAATAATGAAGTAAATGTACTCTATATTCATAAAATAAAATATTACTCGAGTATCCGGAATACAAATTGAGAAAAATATTCAACTTTAGAATAAAAATAAAAATCATTTTTGATCTTTATTTACGACGTAAATGGTTATTTTTTCTTTCTTTTCTACAACAATAATATTATTGTGAAGATAAATCCCTGATATGAAAACAAAAGAATCTTATTATCCATCATCGATCATGCTTGACTTCAGGTAAAGGTGCATATTATTTATCGATATATTCATTTCTTATTATTTTCGACATAAATATGGATACTTCTAAGGCTAGCGATACTAAGGTATTATTAACTTGAATCGATTTTATTTTGCTATGAATTTCTTGTTATAGGTGAATGAAAAAGATGCTGAAGGTAGTAATATTGATGCAAAGATCGATAAAAATGCAGATCCATCAAAAGCACCACCAGCTAAGGCAACTAGTTCACCTGCAGGTGCCTCGAAAGCTCGAGCTGCTCAAGCCGACAAACATGGACGTAGAGGTGAAGCTAAACCTGGTCAAAGACATTAGAAATAAATAATTCATTTAATATAATATTTTTAATCCAGCTATGAATATCTTATTTTTTTTGTATTCAAGACATATTCAGTTTTTCATAATAAACCATGTTATTTCTGTGGGCTTTTGAAACTATTTACATTGTTCTGTATTTTTTCTGCGCAGTATTTTTTCATCCAATAAACAAAATCTCACATTGTAAAGAACGTGCTATATAGACACATGACCAATAGTTGTATTTGTAGTCTATGACCTCTATTTTGCTATTCTCTGTATAACACAAAAAAAAATATTCGAGAATAGCTGAGAAAAAAGAAAGAGAAAAAGAGAGAACGATTTTCTTCCTCTTCCTTCTACTATATATAGAAAGCGAGTTTACTTATTCATTCATATTCTCTCAATACGAACTACTTCAATCTACGATTACTCTCATAAATTTATCTATGTATGTATAATTTCTTTTGAATATTTGTATAGAAAAAAAATATGATTGTTTGTAAATAGAACAAAATGGATGCAATCAAAGCTGGCCTTGAAAAAGCTCAAGAAGCTTTACATATGAAAAAAGCTGAAGATTGTGCAGATAAAGCTCATGATCCAACGGTCAAACCAAGTGAACGAGTAGATGCTGCATTTGCCGCTGGTAAAGCTGCAAATAAAGCTGATGAACATGGTTTCAAAGCTGAAGTTCATAAAGAAAAACATGCTTCCAGTTAAATGAATTAAATTAAATTTATTCATAAACATTATTCGATTTGTTTTCTTTTTTTTATATTAATTCCAGCATTTTCTTATGTTTTTTTGTAAATACTTAATCGAAAAAATAACATCAGTTTCCATCAATACATTTTTATTATCGATTTCTTTAAGTAGATTTTCAGATATTAGAATAAATAAAATGCTTAATAATCTAAATTATATTTCAATATTGTTTCAATAATACTATTAAGATAGACTGATTGATACAGTATGTGATGAAATCTCATCGGTCTGACTAGTACTTTAGCTCAGATGTAAAATTGTGAAGACAAATGCAAATCAAGTAACTGTCATCAACATAATTGATAAATCATAAATATCTGTTTAACTCGAACATACCTTGAAAGCAGATTATTAGAATAACTTCGTAAATAAAATAAATTTTTTTGTAAGAAAAACAAAAAAGAGAATGCAGATTTTCTTATCGATATATCAAAATTCATAAAATATTTAAGCATGAATAAATCAAACATGGAAGTATATTATAGCAAATTAACAGAAAAACTTTATATAAATTATATTTCGAATATAAAAAGAAAAGATTTCAATTATAGTGCGATAAGTAAATGTTGTTGTTGATAATTTATAAATAGTTATTTGCAACTGACATCACAATTATAATATTAAACTATTTATATATACAAAGAAATAATCAGATATTTTTCCTTTTCAAGAAAAATTTTAATCTAATGTCGTTAAATCATATAAATTGTTGTTGCATTTCTTCTTGTCCCACTAAGTCTTGTTTCTAAAAAAAACAAGAGAAAGTCTTCAAATACTTTGCTAAATTTATCTATTTTTAATCTACAATTATAAATAACTGTAAATTCTATGGAAGTGGTAAACATCATGAACGATTCAACATTGATCGAAACAGAAGTATGGTTTCTTCCCTTCGATATTATTGGCATCATATCGACTTCATTATCTATTATACTCGGTCTTTTATATTTATTTATTGTTATAAAATATAAAACATATTCAACAGTACAAATGCTTCTAGTATGCAATTCATCTGTAGCTGTAATCCTTTTAAGCTGTATATTACTTAATATGGCAATATTCACATTACAACATGATTTACAGAAGAGCAGTGAAAATAATACTTCATTCTGTATCATTTTAGGTTTCTTATCATTTATAACAGATGGTCTTCAAAACTATTCATATTTGCTAACAGCTGTCTATCAATATATATCTGTAGTCTATCCAAATAAAGTTATATGGCGATCAATTAAAACTCAATTTTGTCTAATAAGTGTAATTTGGATTGTCTGTATTATCGATATGGTTCCACTGTTCGTCACTGGACAGATTACTTACAATATTGACAATCAAGTTTGTCAAGTACCCCTTCGTTTATCTGTATCAGTAGTCTATGGAGCAGCAATTATCTATGCTATTCCAAATTTTGGTATCACTGTTGTTTATATTAAATTGACTCGATATGTTCAACAAATCAGTCTTCGTACTATATCAAATAATACTATATTTCATGCTCGACGAGAATTAAGACTTGTGCAACGTACTTTCGTTCTTTGTAATACTCTTATTGTCCTTGGCTTACCATATATGATATTTGTTTTA